CAAGTAGTGGTATTGCTGAGTCAAAGGGTATTTATAACTTAGTGACTTTTAAAGTATAAATCTACATTGTTTTCTAGAACACTAGACCCAATTCACAGCTGCCTCAAACCATGCATTAGGTGTCTGTTTTCTTATCGCCCCTCCAACATTTACCCTTTTCATCTTTGCCAGTCTGATGGGAAAGAGGTAAATGTGCATGAAATCTGTTTCTCCCACCCTCCCATTATAATGTAAGTATATATTATACTTACATTATACTCTGAGGGCTGAGATCATGTCTTCTCAAAACTTTATCTCCCTGATCAACTAGCATAATGACACAGTTATCTTTAAATGAATACGTGGATGAAGTATGTACTATATTATATTGCTTCAAATATAAACTGTCCCTAAAAGGAGATCTCTTGGTGAAGAAAAATGTTTATATAGGTAGATGTAAAAAAAAAATCACTCACAATTACCATATAAATTATATAATATAAATTATCATATAAATTATGTGCATGGAACAGTGCTAAGCACTGGGAATATGAAGATGATCAATGACACTACTTGCCATCAATGAGCTTATAATTGAGGTTGAGGGTTCTGACATGTACACATAGAATCGTAATAAATAGTATTGGACAATGAGAGAGCCAGAGTACTCTAGGAATGTTTAGGAAGAGAGACATTTTATTCTAAAGAATTAATGTTTTATGAACTACCATGTATCAATATTAAATATAGAATATAAAATAAAGGCCACATAGCATAGTGGATAGAAGATGTGGGTTATTTACTTCATCTGTTAGATACTGGCTCTGGGACCATGTGCAAATCACTTAAACATCATTGCACCAAACAACTGGTGATTTAGTTTTGAATTTTGAGTTTGAATGCAGATTGAAGCATACTATCTGCGCTTTTTTTTTCCTTCTGTTTTGTTATCTCTTTCTTGTGTTTCTTCCTATTGGTTCTAATTCTTCCTTACAGCATCACTAATGTGAAAATATGTTTAATAGGAATGTATACATATAACCTATATCAGATTGTGTGCCGTCTTGGGGAGGGAGGTGGAGAAAAATTTAAAACTCAAAAGTTTATGGGAGTCATTGTTGATAAATCAAAATAAATTAATAAAAAATAATAATAATTTAAAAAAAGAAAAAAAGAAAATTAGTCTCAGAAGGAATGTACCAGCAGTATAGGGAACCAGGAAAGCTAGGAGGCAGATATGAGGAGGGGAGAGTATGCCAGGCATGGGGGTATGCCAGTGAAAAGGAAGAGTCTGGAGACTTCATTTGAAAAACATTTTAAAAGGTAATAATATGAAGTGATAAAAGCCTACACCATTCAGGCCTTAGTGAAAATCCAGCTTTCTATAAGAAGCCTTTCCTGATCTCCTTAATACTTGTCTTTCCCTTTGATTTTATCCTATGCATATCTGTTTTGAACATAATTTTTTGCATGTTGTCTCCCCTATGTGAGCTCCTTGAAAGATGGGACTTTTTTTGCAGTTCTTTGTATCTCCAGCACAGTGCCTGCCAATAGTAGGAGCTTATTTTGTTGACTTTCCTATACCAGGGTGGTATCTTATGAATGGAGAGAAGGGGGTGTATACATTATCTGTTGTAGGTGGTGCATTGGATAGAATGCTGGACCTGAGTTCAAATTCTGCCTCAGACTGATACTGGTTGTATGACCCGGGGCAAATCACTTAACCTCTCTCTCTCTGCCTCAGTTTCCTTATTGGTAAAATGGGGTTAAATAAAGCACCTGGACAGCTAGGTGGCATGGGGGATAGAGTGCTGGGCCAGGATTCATTAAGATTCATCTTCTTGCATTCAAATCTGGCCTCAGACACTTAATAGCTCTGTGACTCTGGGCAAGTCACTTAACCCTGTGTGCCTGAGTTTCCTCTTCTGTAAAATGAGCTGGAGAAGGAAATGGCAAAACACTCCAGTATCTTTGCTAAGAAAACCCCAAATGGGGTCATGCCAGCAAGTTGGACACAACTGAAAAACTACTGAACCACAACAAAATACACCTAACTTACTAAGTTGTTGTGAGGATCAAATATATAATATAAAGTTGTTTACCACTTTAAAGCACTATGTAAATGCTACCTGTTGTTATTTTTATCATCATCATATGATGACACATGATAACAGATTGGATTTTTAGAGTAAGTGTAAGAGAGGAGTCAAGGATGGTTATTGGGAGAATAGTGTTTTCCTTGACAGTAATAGGAAAATTGGGGAGAGTGGGGGAACAGATGAAGAGTTTTGTTTTGGACCGGTTGTGTTTGAGATACTTATACAACATCCACTTCAAAATATTCAATTGTGATGGAAGGCTGGAGTTTAGCAAAGAGGTTAGGGATGGATATGTTCCATATCCAAAGATGTGGAATCAACTGCATAGAAATGAGATTACCAAGTAAGATAGTGGAAGGGAACAGGTCCCAGGGCAGCCTTGGGGAATACCCAGGCTTACTATCTTGACCTGGATGAAGGATACTGAAGGGAAAGGTCATATATGTAGGAGGAGAACTAAAAGAGAGAGGAAGGTCATGAAAACTTAGAGAGGAGAGAGTTTCCTGGAGAAGAGAATGATTTTCAGTGTCAAAGGGTGAAGAGAGGTTAAGAAAGATGAGAGTTGAGAAAAAAGCCATTAGATTTTTGCTGTTAAGAGACAGCTAGTGACTTTAGAGAGATCAGTTTCAATTGAATGATGAAGTTGGAAGCCAGATTGCAGAGGGCTTATAAAAGAGTAAGAGGATAGGAGGTGAAGGCTAAAGTGGGGTTTAGCCAAGGAGGAGAGGAGAAATAAAGAAATAAAAGAAATAAAGAAATAATAATAATAATAATAAAAGAAAAAAAGAAATTAAAGAAATAAAGTACAAAAGGTAGCAGGTATGGTAGGATCAGGTAAGGGTTTTTAAGGATGAAAGAGACATGGGCAGGCATGTTTGTAGTAGTTGGGAAGAAGCCAGGAAATAGACATTGAAGACTAGTGAGAAAGTGGGGATGAAATCACTTGTGCTTGTAGAGGAGTTTGCCTTGGCAAGGAAGGCCCCCTCTTCATGAGATATAGCTTTAAAGGAAGTGATAGTAGGGGAAGACAAATGAGTGATTTGAGATGAGGAGGGAAGAAGCAGGAGCTTTTATTGAATGACTTCTGGTATTTTCTGTGAAGAACGAAAAGATGAGAGGCCAGGAGGAAAGAATACTGTGAGAGATTTGAGGGGTTTAGAACAGCTTTTGTAGTGAGAGGGAAAGCAAGTATTGATTAGGGAGGTATAAAAAGATTGCCTTGCTAGGAGGACTTAGTTGAAATTATTAACATAAAAGTTTATCGAACCCAGTTAGCACAGTTTTGTGATATTTTTTAGCTCTGTTCAATAGCATATGAATAGTAGTGTGAAGGTAGCAAGTAGTGGATGTAATCTAAAGTTGAGGTATGGCAGGGCATGATTGATAAGACAAGGGGGCAAGGGATTAGAATATTAAAAATAGTGTAAGTTGAACTGATTGCTCATGGAACTGAGTTAGGGAAAGTTGAGTTTGTGTTAGTGCAGAGGTGATGGCCTGGAAAAGAATTGAAGTGGAAGGATTGAACATTGTTAAGGAATAGGCAGCACTTCTCTGCCCAACTCTCCAGTATTTTAAGGGGGTAGGAGCTATGTTAACAAGATTTAAGGCCACACTGGCCTTGCTCAGTCGGGGGATACTGGGGTATCCCCAATAATTCAGTTACTGTATCAGGTTAACTTAAATGGTTAATGTTCTTCCTGTTCATTTTCATGCTCTTCATGGCCACATACTCAACCTTCAACTCCAGTGAGCTGATTTTAGAATTCATACCAATCGCCTGCATTCAGGACAGGGCAAGAATGTCTTGGTTCATCAGAATGAATAAATTACCACTGCTGGAGGGAGAAGAACTCAGTATTTCTTCTGTGGATAGTGACCCAGTGGCATAATTTTCATGTATAAAGGACAACTTTAGATTTTAGTGTTACCATCGTATTTGGTATAGGTTGCACCTATAGTCCATCTGTCTGAAAAGACAGACAGTATACTCTATTGTCTTAAACTAGAGTTGAATAAAACTAGAACCTGCCACCATTGGGGATATGGGGGGGAACAATACCTTTGGGGGATTAGAGTGAAGCAGTGGGTTTTGGTTTTGTTTTGTTTTTTAGTACAACCCTGCTTAAATACATTCACCATCATTTTTTTAACTAAAGTTTTTACATTTTGTTTTTATACTATCTTCATGTTACCTTCCCCCTACAGATTCAGCCATCCCTTTAAACAATGAAAAAGAAAAAACAGTTTAGAAAAGCTCAGCAGCATAGCCACAAAGTCTGATGACATGCAATGTACCACACCACTAGCTTCCCCAGATCTACAAAGATGGCAGGGAGTTGCATTTTCCTTTCTTATTTCTGGATCTAAGCTTGGTCATTATGACTGTAGCAGTTCAGTTTCATCATTTTTGTAGTCATGTATTTGCCTGATTCTACTTACTTTACTCTATCAGTTCATATAAGTCTTTTTATTTTTATAATTTCTTATCATTGTTTATGGCATAGTAATATATTAATGTGCTATAATTTATTTTAGTCCCTCTCCAATAATCTACTTTGTAGTACTATACTACCATGAAAAGTACTCTATGAATATTTTGATATATAATGGAACCTTTCTTTCTTTGACCTCTTTGGAATATATACCTAGCAGTGGTATCTCAGTACCACAAGCCAAGAACATTTTGTCACCTTTCTCGTGTAATTCCCATTTGCTTTCCATCAACAATGTATTAGTGTGCTTCTCTTTACACATGCTCCAACACATCCACTTTTAAAAATGAAAACAAAAGTTCAACTCATAGTCAACAAAAGCAAGTAATACTTTGAATGTTTTCCAACTGGAAAATGGCAGATGGCAGAAGGGAAGTGTGTGCCATCGCTGGGCAGTGGTCCAAGGAGGACCTGCTGTCATCAGAGGCCCCTACAGCAAGGGGAAAGGGCTGGCATCCTCTGCTGGAGGGAGGAGAGTAGGGCTCATTGGAGTGCACACCAATGAATGAATAAACAAAAAGGCATTTATTAAGTGCTTACTATATGCTCTGAAGATACAAAGAAAAACAAGACAGCCTCTCTTCTCAAGATGTTCACATTCTAAACCAGGGGAGACGACATATTTAGGAAATTTTAGCTATGAGTCAGATGGAAAGGCCTTGTAGTCCTTAAGGTGCAGCAACAAAGCAGATGGTAATGTTTTTTTTAACGTCATTTCCACTGGTAAAGCCAGGTCCATTTCTGTTATTGACCCATTTAACAATGTCATGGACTTTGTTTTTGAGAATGCTGAACATATATTTCTCACCAACCACATACTCTATTGGGTGGCACCAGAGCCTATGTTACTCTTACACCTACCCTGCCTCACCCCCCCCCCCCCCCCCCCCCCCCCCCCCCCCCCCCACAGAACAGCAATGGAAATAAACCTGCGAAGGACATTACAGATGGCAAAAAATAAGCAGTACAAAATTAAATGTAATGTATATGCACAATATACACATCTGTGATAATTTTCAGTGTGAGGTACAAGAATAAATGGATAATTGGGCAATTCTCAGCTTATTAAAGACTGAAAGGGAAATAAATGTTAAAGAAAAACAGAGTATTTTGCTTTTGTTTTCCTAATGAAGAAAATCTATAAAAGCTTGTGTAAGATCTTGAATCTTGAATTCTGGTTCTATAGTTCCTGGATATGAATAAAAGAAAGAATAGAAATCTGTTGAGAAAGCCAGTGGAATTCAGTGAGCTTCCCACTAGTACTAAAATGTCAGTTATACAATTTGCTGAATATTTGATGGTTTTTGGCATGTGACAATGTGCTGTTGTTTACTCTAGTTTTGTGTCCCCCACTGTGATTAAAGATGGCAAAAAAATTTTTTCTTTTGATACTTAACCATTCATGAATTCCAGGTTCATTAAGCCAGGCAAATTCTCTTTTTTGGGGGGGAGGGGGGATTAAGTGACTTGCCCAAGGTCACACAGCTAGTTAAGTGTCAAGTATCTGAGGTCAGACTTGAACTCAGGTCCTCTTGACTCCAAGGCTAGAGCTCTATCCCTTGTGCCATCTAGCTGCCCCAGACAGGCAAATTCTTTAAGAAAAAAGTTCCACTTTTTTAACAGAAGGCAAATGTGTTGTCTGTTTCCCTTTTCTTAAATACTGGTCTTTATTTGTTAATACATTTGTTGGGTTTTGGACCACTGGAATATTTAAACTGTAGTTTGTCTCCTTAGATTACTTTTTTCTCCCAATATTTTATCTAGTGAACAAATATTTACGTTAATAAAGTTCTGTATGTACTGTGTTTTTAATGTCCAAGCTCATTTGAAACAAGTCTGCTCTCCAAATTGTGATCCAGCAAATACTACACATGGCACTAACTATTCTGTTGTATATACATGAATCAATGTGGCCTACCCTCTGTTGATGACACTGGATGTAGTGGGTTATGGTCAATAAGAGTGGGTAAGTGATAAGGAAAAGAAAATCTATTCAAGGTAGAAATAATAAAATTTATTTTGACGTTTATTTAGATTACATAATTCACTAGGTAGTTCTGAATTATTTGTAAAATTTCATTTGTCCATTTTTTTAATAGCAAAAGAAATGCCGTGCCTGGTTAAATCAATAGGACATTCGACTCATAATTCTGGACACATATTAAGTGCTTTATTGATGTGACAACACCATCGGTTGTTTTGTGAGACAGTCGTTTTTGATTTGTAATTTAGGAATGGTATTGGAAACCATACTTTATCTTTTGAGTAGTTATAAAAAGAGCATGTTTTAAGATAGCAGAACTAATATTGCAATTTAGAGCTTTTAATCCACAGTTTTGGTCAGTTATTTCATAAGGAAGGTCTTATTCAACAGTGATTATCTAGTGAGGTCCTCTGCTGGATACTGCAAAGGAATGAAAAATATTAAATGTTCTGGTCCTCAAGGAGTTGAAAGTTGAATAGATTTTGAGTCAGAACTAATTAAATCACAGAATGTTAGAAGAGGAGGAGACCTTTGGAGATTATTTAATATAGCTCATTGTACAGACAAAATAAACCTAAAGCTGTGAAGTAATTTGCCCAAGGTAATAAAGGTCAATCTAGCAGGGATTCCAACTCAGATCTTCTGGCTCCAAGTTTAGTACTCTTACTGTTTGATTCTGTCTCCCTCTTTTTCCTTTTTGTGGATTTCCATTTTTTAATTGTCTCAATTTCAGTGAGGTTTTTACCTAGATTTAGTTTTCTAAAAAGTATCCTTTAATCTTGTACACATTGATTCATCTGATATTAGTTTTTGAAATTTTCTTTGAGGTGTCATAAATGCATGAAATTCATCCGTATTTCTCAAAGAGCAGTTTGTAATAGAAAACTTGCTTGTTCTAAATTCCTAGTTTGTAGAAGGAATGAAAATGAGCATACAAGTAATCATCACAATTGAAATTAAGAATAGATCTTGAGTCTGTACAGAGAAGAGGTGGCAAGGCATATAGTGGGAAACAAAAATTTGATTTGTAGGGAGTTATCTGAAATATTTTTACCTTTGATGTTTTGAGAACCATAAAAAAGTTATTTCCAGCAAACCTGGTTGTTGTTGTTTTTTAATGTTGGACATGTTAAGGAATTTTTAAAGGAACATTGGCTTTAAACATAGGAAAATAGCAATTTTGGTCCAAGAGAATTTTAATGGCAAGTTTTCTGGAATCTGTTCTTGATTTTCCTGTTTTGTCACTAAGATAACTGAAGTGCAGGGAATGCATGTTCTTTGTGTTCTTGACTCATTAACTTTTCATTCAGATTGCAACTTATCAGTCATCACAACATTCTTGAGCGCTTAGTGTTTTTAGCATGCTGTTCTTGGCATTTAGGAGGCAGGAGTGAAGAACCGTGAGGAAGAAGACCTTTCCCTACCTTTATTTCTTTCTGTTTGAGGAGAGAGCAGATATACAGAGAACAAGTGAAATGGGCTTTCCCCAAACCTGTTAGGTAAAACATTTGAGTCTGAAAGGTTGAAGGATTTAAAGGAATAATAATTTTATCTTAAATGTCAGTTTCCCAATTTTCATCTCCAAATTATGGACTTAATATCTAGATTTATTTAAAATCTCCCTTTGATAGAGAGTTCTAAACAGGGTAAATTCTTTTTATATCATTTTCATTTTTTAATGTATCCTTGCCCCTGAATGCCCTTTCCTTTCATTCCCTCACTGAGTGATGCATCCCTTGGAACAAAGAAAAAAGAGGAAAATTGAGGAGTTCATCAAAACTAACCAAAGCATTAACCAACTCTTGACAGTTCGGGCAATTTTGCACACTCATAGTTCCTCATTTCTGCAGAATGATGAAGCGGGGTACATTAGGAAGAGGTACTGGAAGCACCTGGAGTAGGAAGGCTTTTTCAAGGAGTAAGCTGGTGAGGCATTTCAGTATCATTTGTAGACAATAGTAAAGGAACCATTAGATGGGTATGGATGGTGATGGGGACAACCTTCTGGAGAAGAGAGGGGGTGAGATCAAAGGTACGTGGGTTGACCTTGGTAAACAGGAAGGGGCATCAGAGATTGGAGCCAAGAAGGAAATAGTATGGGATAATGTCAGAGTGACATGAAATGAGGGAGAGAGGAAGCTTGCTGCAAATAGACTTAATTTTTTTTTTTTAAGTATGAATTAAGGGCCTCAGCTGAGTTGGGACAGGGGGAGAAGTTATGAGAAGATTGAGGATTGGAACAGCCTATAGTGAATAGAAAAGGGGATCAGTTAGGATCAATTACCTTACTACTTTGAGGGCCTACTTGAGATTAACTAACATATATTTATAGTGAATCCAATCCATTCTGCAGCAAGTTGAGGAAGAAAGGGAGAGATTGTGGGAGTAGTCCAGGGTTGTGATTTAACAAGGCAGAATAGGACAAGGGAACAAAGGAACCTAGAAAATAAGAGTTGAACTGGTTCACCAAGTTGCATTGCACATTTCCTATTTTTTTTTCAAAATGAGAGATGGCAAGTAACAAGAAAACAACCATTGCTTCTCTCTACTACCTCTAACTACCATCTTATTTTTCTACTTCTTTTCCATGTCATTTCTCAAATTAATGGTCTACACCTACTATACATTTTTTCCTGTTCTCTTAAAGGTCAGCAGTGATTTTCTTAAAATCTTTCTCTTTGCTTGGCTTCTGTGACACTGCTATTCTGGTTCTCTTGTCTCTGTAGTAGTTTTTTCATCATCTGCTGTACTGACTCTTCCTTCTACTCCTTAACTGTGGGTGTTTTTAGGCTCAAACCTAGTCCTCTTGTCCTCTCTATGTGCTTTCTTTAATGTCGACTGCCAGATCTTTTTATCTGCCTGTCTAGTTATGAAACTGAAGTTAAAATATCTAAAATTAAACTTCTGTATTTGTCCTTTCTTCACCTCCCCCCATCTCTTAAAAAGGCAGGCTGCCCTTCCTAATTTCCCTGTCTTTTTGACAATAATGCTACCATTCTCCCTGACCTCAAGCTCAAAAGCTGAACGCTCTCTTTTGACTCAGACATCCTTTATATAAATTCAGTCAGTGAGGAAGTTCTCTCCATTTTTATTTTGAATCTTACCTCCTATATATTCTTTTTACTGTATAACCTAGGCTTCATGCTTGGATTACTTTAGTCTCCACTCTGGTTTCTGTCTTCTCGCCTCTATATTTCTACAAGACAGAGCCACATTTAATCTTCCTAAAAGATTATTTTTTCTATATGATTTCTGTTCAAGAATCCTCAGTGATGTTTAACTGCACAGCATTATCAAGTCTATACCATTCTTTTGCTATCAATTCACAGTCTGGCTCCGTATCATTTTTCCAGTCTTATCAGGAACCTTCTGTTCCACTTTGGCCAAATGCTTTACTTCTGAACCATTGTACAAGTTATTTTCGTCTACCTGGAATGCCCGGTTTTATCTTTTTCCTCTAATCCCACTACCCTCAAGTCTTTCTTACCTTTTCCTTAAGGCCTAGGTCAGA